TATCCTCCCGACGTATCAAATGCAAGGATTATTGTTGTTTCACTTTTCATTTTGTTGGAAGTTTATATATTCGAGATCCTGAAAGTTTCAGAGAATGTCAGTCTAACTTTGTACTTCTACAATTTTAATATGCTTTAGAAGCTATACATAAGTTATTTTTAAAAAGACATAGACATCACTGAAAATTCCCAAAGTACCATTGAAATTCTATGACACAATAGGAAGTTTTTCCTTTCAGGTCTTTGCTTCTCCAAGAAGCTATCCATCCTATTCCCCATTTTCCATCTCATTCCCCTGTGCCCTCTAATACCACAGACACTAAAACCACTGTTAGCTATTCAGTTTGTTTCCCTCTTATTTTGTCAGTTTGAAACGAAATAATTATAGTACGCCAGTATTTCTGTGCTATAATTTTAATATCAAAGTCTTTTCATCTGATGTATAAAGTGATATTATACGACTGACTCTCAGAATATATCACTCATGCAATCCTTTCCCACTTCCTCAGGTGGCCAATTGATGTTAACATGTATTATTCATTCTATTAATATATTAGTTATTAATAAAAAAAACAGTGTGCTTGACCATCGCTTTGAAATAAAGATGAGAAAGGGATGGTATTGTTATCTTAATATGTATCAATTAAAATCTCTAGATATCATTAGGAAGGTATTAGTTTCAGTGGGTCATAGAATGAACATTTAATAAAAAGAAGTATTGTTTTGTATTGAACCCTCTGTGTAATTATTATGAAGTTCATTAACTAAAACATCCATATGATTTGTTTTGAAAATATTAGCAAGGGGAAGTTGAAAATACAGTTTAAAAAATGAACCCCTGCTAGCATTTGTTCATTGCTGTGTATAATAGCACACAGTACGGGAGAAATGGGGTGACTCGATTTACGCTATTAATAAATACAGAAAATTTCCCCAAATGAAATAAATAAATTAAAAGACGACAGATAGATCCAGCTGGTTAAGGTTTAAATAATGAATAAGTGTTGTGGATTAACCCACTCCAGGTGGACCTGGTATAGCTGGTCGGATCATAATTCATCTGCAACATAGTCGAGGTGAATTTCCATTAAAAAAAACACTCTGAAATGTACTTCTGACCCCAGAGTATAAACCGGTAAAAGCCCCAGGTTATCCCTTCATTGCCATGTCCATTATTCAGCCCTGATGGGTTGCATTACATAGGCGAGTTTCCTAAATTGCTGCTTTAATACATACACAGTCTTGAACTCAGAGCAACCAAATATCTTTCTTTTAAAAAAACACCCACATTTATGACTGTAACCAACTTCTAATGACCCTCCTGAGGCATAAATCTTGAGAGGAATTTCTTCTGTGTCCAAATGCATTACGTTGAATGATATTTCAACCTAAGGCGAGGTTCTGTAATGCATCAGGAATCATCTTCATCACATTCACTTATTCTAGGTATTCAGTCTCGTCCGGTTCTGAACAAAATATTCCTTAGAAGCTTTTGGAGCTAGCAATGCTCCCTTCCCCTCCCTGACCCCAATATTTTTATTTAATAATGTAGAAGAAGCTCCATTGTAACATTAACCGGCATTTAGTGAACATCGAGATCCATTTATTTATAATAATAATAATCCTCGCATTTGATATAGTGCCTTATGATGTCGTCGAGACGCCTCAAAGCGCTTCACAGGATATATTGTAAAGTGAATTGACTGTGTGATTTATGGGTGAAACTTATTTAGGAACGAAAATTGAGAGCAGGAGCTTAATTAGGACTACATGACATGTTGTCCTGTACCTATATTCAGTACTTGCAGAATTAGCGAAACAAAATTCCATTTGGTTAACGCACGCACGTTATTTTTTTGATGAACTAGTTGATACTAAACTCTGTTGGGTTTCTGTACCAACAGGAAACACAGGGTAAACATTCAGCAGACTAGGTGTCCTCTTTTTCTGTCTTCCCTTCACTGCAGAATCCCAGCAATGTCACGCAGAATTGCATCTGAGTCGAGTGACTGACCAGCCCTTAGAAAGCTTGTGATGTGTGTACATTACTCATGCCACCCCCTCACTGTCTGTCCCCTGTAACTAGGAGCTGCAATGTCATGTTAAAGAAGCAGCTGATAAAACATGGCAGGCCAAGAGCCAGAAATAACACATGGCATTTATAATTCTTCACAAAATCGGCTGATTCCTTGGAAGGTGCTTTCAAAGTATGACTGATCCTCTCCCCACTTCCCTCTTGTGGGATTCGGCAGGAAACGTGACGTTCTATACCTAGCTGTGCCATCTGCTAAACCTTGCCATCACTTAGGGAGTGATGTAAATCTCCTCCCCGTCTGTATTGATAATCTTCTTGTCCTCTTTTTTTTCTGCCTGGGGTTTTATCATTAAAGGAGCTTTATTCTGCATCTTCAGGACACGGAGTCATTAATCAAATCATCGCACGCTGAATGCATTTCACAGGTAGCCAGGCCGACTGTTCCTATCTCAGGTGTGATAGCACAGGATTGCTGCGTGTCTTAAGTAACAAGCCTCCAAACGCCCCAGACACACGCAACTTAAGGCATCGGAACGATAACGAAATTATTACGTGCGTCATTTCACAGTGTGCATTACCATAATTCTCAAAGGTTTGGAATCGACCACCGTTTCATTGCAGGATAAGGCAGCAAAGGCAATCACCGTTTCGAGCAAGATTAATCTTAAGTGACCACTTAGGCTGCAGCTGCTATCTTCACCCCATTCGAAGCGCAGCACGACATGCTCATGGCATGACCTGGCGTGGTGTGCGTACTCAAACGTGCCAGGCCTGTGCGTAGGGGTCAATCTGTGGGTGCCCAGAGGAGCTAGTTATTAAATTGTATTAGAAAACACCTTGAAATCCAGATATTTAACGTCTTAATTGAGGGACACTTATTCCCTCTCGTGAGATACGATCTTCACATCCAAATGTGCACTTGCACTTGGCAGCGCTTTGAATAGTGACTCCTTTTTAAGTTCCCCAAATGGGATGCGTTCCACCAGGCAGGAGAACAAGATCGGCTGTGGCTTGGGAGACTGACGGTGCAGTGCAATGCAATGCAATCAGACTCTTCCCACTTCCAGCACAGTCGATATGAACGCACCAAGACCAGCGAGTTTCCCTACCACAGAGCCCTGACATCCTACTGAAAAGTAGCGGGGAAATAGCACACGCTCGTGGAGTCTGGATTCCCACAGCAAATAGAACATGCAACTTAACAGAGCAATGAATGAGCGAGCAGCTGACACACAGATCTGTGTGACAGCTCATTTTCCTCTTCAGCAGGTTTGTACAAAAGGACTGAAAGGAAGCAGGAAGGCAGTGTTGCACTTAAGCAATAATAGCCTTGGATGCCTCCCGCTTGCTAAATTGAGGATAAGATGGGCAACCTTGGGGCAACAAGCAAAGGTCAACCCTGTCAATCTTCTGGGGGTTCCTCTGCATGTGACACGGTGGCACTTAATATATACTAACAATCCTTGCATTTGATATATAGTCATGTGTTATCATGGCTGAATCATTTGCCTACAAAACACAGTCACTACATTATTACTGTTATTATTACATTTTACGTATATCCTGTAAAGGGCTTTGAGACGTCCTTCCACTGTGAAAGATGCTAATCCAAACACAAGGATTATTATTATTATTATTACCACCACATGAAAGTTTTTTATATACTTTAACTTCATATTTTATTATTATTATTAACTCTATATTTGCTTTATTTTCAGAGAGTTGGGGGATTTGGAGGGAGGGAATTCTCGAGGCTAAGGGCATAAAATTAGATGTGCTTTTCACATCCATTGAAGAGTGCACAGGTCAAATCAGTATATTTACAGTATATTCTGTGAAGCGCTTTGAGATGTCTGGAACATGTGAAAAAGCGCTTATATCAAATGCAAGGATTATTATTATTATTATTAAATTAAATTTGGATCCCAATTTGCTAGCAACAGCATTTTAGAATATGAAACCTCACTTTAAAAGCAAACCCCAAACATTCAGCCCCACCAGGGAGCAGACTTCGCTCTTGCACAGGTCACAGAGCAGAAGTTAATATCATTACCAGTTTATTGTATTGATTATTCTTTAATTATATCAGGACTTTGAGCATCCGTATCTCACAGGGCACCGAAAAGCACATTAGTCAACAGTTAGTGCTTATTCTTTTTACCGTTGTACGAGCTTTTGATTAATAATTTATTAAGTATTATACATTAATCCCGGTATATCAGCAAAGAATATAAGCATCATCTGATGAATAATATATAAGATTGCAATACCAGGCAGTTTGTCTTTTTAATAGCATCTATCTTTCAGATTGCTTTTTGTTTGCGGTTTCCATTTTTAATACTGGTTATTATCTCGAAATGTCTGCTGCTCTTTTCACCGAAGAGACCTGATGAGAAATATGTCTGTCCAGACTCGACCGATTTCCTAATGAGGGTGAATCATAAACATAAAACTCCGCTAATTTGGCAATCTTACTCAGACAGGCCGTTAGGTGTCAGTCTGCCTCATTCGGCAGCATTCTCATATCTTTGAGTCAGAAGATTGTGGGTTCAAGCTCGCAGACCAGACTGAAACGCCAATGCATTGCTGGAGATGCCATCCTCTGGATGAGGTACTAGACTGAGATTTGTCTGCCTGCTCAGGTGGACCTGAAAAAAACACAGCCACTGCACCGCACTTCACAGTAAATCCAGTGAAGTACTTTGAGAGGTCTCAATCATATGATAAGATTCTATATCAAAGAATTATTATCTTATTATAAGGATGGTTGGTGTTGGAAGCGAAAATGTCATCATCATGCACTGTAGGCTAATGTTAGGATGAAGGCAGAGAGAGCTTATCTAGTTGGTTATGTTGGATCTAACCTGAATATTCCTCCTAAAGACACGATCAGCTGAAATGGGAGAAAAAGGCTCTACTTCTGAAATCCTTTTTTTTTTTACATTTTACATTTTCCTGTTTTCTAGGCTGCTAAACTGCCCATGTCAATTATCATTGTGGGAGTTGGACAAGCGGAATTTGATGGTGAGTAGCATTTAGGACATTTTTATTGAAATATTTCAGAATGCACGAAAATGGGAGCCGTTTAAGGTGGATTCACTCACACGTTTGATTCCATCTGCAAACACGTTCTGTGCCTACGAGGAGGATTTTGGACTCTTTCCCCAGGAACAAATTTCTCATTAACCATATAAACCCTGATCCCATTAATTATGTAATTCCTGATTTCTATTAACCAGGTAGTCATTGATCATCCCCCAGTCTTATGACGGACTGATGTGTAGGGAATTAAGGGGAAAAATCCACAATTTACCCAACTTATGGTTCATTCTTCTTGTGCTCTTACACGGTGTGGGCATGATAAAAATAGCTACACTCTCTTGCTTCAGATTAGATACCCGCCCTTGACACTGCGTGTGCAATAAGATGCCGAGGATTTACAGCACAGTTTATTGTGTTTGCTTGCAGCAATGGTGGAGCTGGATGGAGATGACATCAGGGTATCTTCACGAGGGAGACTTGCAGAGAGAGATATTGTGCAGGTATGTGTGTGCAGTGACAGAACATCACGTTGTGCGTGTGAGTTGTGCACAAATGCACACGGAAAAGGGACTCCAACTTCAAGTTGTTGTTGCTGCAGTACTGTTCATGAATAGTGAGACATTAAATAGTAAATTTCCACTGGGCTCTAATTTATTCTATTTATGTAGCCTTTTAGAGTATCCAGAATTTTTGACAGTTTCTTAAAGACAGCCTTAATTTTGAAGCCAGTGTGTTCTTTTAAAAGCTACAGGAAATGGGTTTCAAAGTCAAGACTGAATTCAACAGTTTGCCCAAATTCTGGCACTCTGAAATGTTAAGAAAATAGAATAAACCTAGAGAATAATTTTGCTTAAACTGGGAAAAGCTTGATTTCAATACCCGCTTTTTTCCACTCCATAATATAATAATAATAATCCTTACATTTTGATATAGCGCCTTATCATATCATTGAGATGTCTCAAAGTGCTTCACAGGATATACCTTACTCCACACGCCTCTGTTAACCTAGCAGTAAGTAGGAATCCGGTTGTTAGTCGATTGGCGGATCACTTCTCCGGGGGTAATAATTCCTTCAAAAACATTTTTTAAATTGATCACTCAATCCATGGTTGTTTGTGGGACACTGCTGTGCACAATTGGCTGCTGCGTTTTGCCCACAAAATTCACTTTACAGTATATTCTGTGAAGCGCTTTGAGACATCTCGAAGACGTAATGCAAAGATTATTATTATATTATAATTATATTATTATACTGTAAAGTGTAGTGATTGTGTATTTTGTATGTGTGTGTGTGTATATATATATATAAATATATACCTTGGAATATTCTTTCTTTCCAGTTTGTGCCGTTCCGTGATTATATTGACCGCACGGGAAATCACGTGCTCAGTATGGCTCGACTGGCCAAGGACGTTCTGGCTGAGATCCCCGACCAGTTTATATCCTATATGAAAACTCGAAGCATCAAGCCCAACCCAGCCCCGCCTCCGTACACACCTCCAGGCCTTAGTGTTCACACACAAATCTGAGAGAGGAAACTTACGGGATACCTAGACTTGCCGGGAAGCGTGGCTTGTAAGTGCAAATGTATTGGCTGCTCATCTGCTGTTGTCAAACGACGTGGAAATGGCAGAACATCTTAAGACGTTTTATGTACTCAATTATGAATGATCTCCAAACACGACTCTCACTTGAATAGCGGAAAGACGTTGTTGAGTGACCAAGAAGGTTGACCAAAAAAAAAAAGTCCATAACTACATTTCTTTCAAGAAGACAGAGCGATGAAGAAAGTTGCAACAGACCGCTTTGTAGGAAGTTGCAAGGAAGATCCGTATCACACAGTGTCATAAACAAATGGTTATTTGGAGGAGTGAAACCAGCTAATGGCTGGAGAATATAGTAGTGAGTAGGAAATCTGGGACCAATTTGAGGATGAAGTGGTTTGAACACTTTGTATTTTGATGACGTCGGTACCTTTTGGAAATTGTCTGTTATGTCTTTTGAAGTTTACAGATTAATTCTTTCTACGGTCTAAATGGTTTATATATATATATATAGACGCAGAAACTCCTTTTGGCAATCATTTGAAAGATCAATAGAAACTGTGATGTTTCATTGTTTGCTGCATCCAATGGCGCTTTCTTTATAGCTTGTGTGACCCATTTTGGGGAGTTAACTATTTCCTTTAGTTTATTTTTAAATGGGGTATATGCACTGCTCGATGTAAATTCAGTGACCCGGGCTCAACCAAACCATGAGGGTAACTTAACCATGACCCTAAAGGGGAGCGTTATTAAGAATTGAAGTACAAAGCTGATCTATCCACCTTTGGGTGGATAAACAATGGGTACATATTGTTTCACATGTGCATTGTGAGTGTAATGCAATTTTATATGTTTTACTCTAAGGTCAAAGTTGGATTGTAGTCAGCCAAACATTTTCCTTTACTGATGGGGGTTCCACTCTGAAATATGGACTGGGGTCACTCAAGGAGTGACAATCATGGATTGGGTTAGAACAAAATATTTTGTATGTAATATTGTCTACAAGCACAACAAACAGCCCAGCACAGATGCTCTTAGTATGGGATTTGTTCTAAAGTTACCTTGAAACAACGAGAGTTTACAATTTTGTGTAAAATTCATATTTTATCTTGGATGTTTTTAGACTTTGAGACGTGTGCGTACAACGTTCTGATGTTTCTTTGGGCCTCCGTAGCTTAAAAAGTGGCCAAAATCAAACCTTCCAATTGTTGGCGCTTTTTNATCATTTTCTGTTCGCTCTTCTGTAAAATCTAGAGGACCCTTTTTGAATAGATTTGACCTTTTGACTCAGCTCCGGTAGATAAATGACAACAGTGTTAAGTTCTCAGTTTGCTAATTTTGACACAAGCTTTTGTAGGTCAACAAAAATGTTGGTTTCTTGAACTGCCAAAGAACCTTATTTCCAGTACTAGTTTACCCAACAATATGGGAATCAGATAATATAACCCACTACAGTATAATATCACGTAGACAACAGCTTCTTAAATGCTCGTGTTACCCTTTCTCATCCACCTGGTCATTTTTAATCTCACCACAAAGTTAATCCATCAACGGATTTTTTCTTAAGTTTGATAGGATTCATCCGCTAATTCCGGAAAACCGGGAAGAAAACTCTCATTTATCATAATTGTTTAAGCGCGTATGTAAATAACGACAACAACAACTTGCATTTATATAGCAGGGTAGCGTTCCGGAGCGCTTAACGGTGGAAGCTCTCTGTTGTTGCTGTTGTTTTGCCCTGAACAATTCACAATCCAGATCTAAACATCACATCAAGGATCTAAACATCTATCAGAGAAAAATTGACATCATTCCATCCATCTAAACTTCATTAACCAAGTCTGGCAGGCTTCGCTCCACCTTTGTGCCTTTCACTCCTATACCCATCAGTATATAATGTTGCCCTTTGGCCATTTAATTCATTTCTGTTCCCAGAATATATTTTTTTTTTACCCACATTTGCTTGAAATTCATTATTGTAACCGACTGGCGCAATATCCAGATAGACTGCGCATTATGCGAGTCACATCTGAGAGAGATGAAAATGGTGAGATTAGTTCCTGAAAGAGGGACTGTATGATTGACTGTCTGACCTTTCTCAAACCTACATCTTTACGATCTGGGCCTCCAAATCTTAGCGACATCCTTCCTCACCACAGGTGTAGTTTATGCCGTGATCTTCAGCACCGCAGTAGATGCCAACCTATTTTAGTGAAGGCTTTGCTCGCAACCCTGATGTGAATGCTGAGCGCTTAACAATAGCTGAAGGCTCGGTCTGACCTTTAAAACTCTGCGATTCAAAATGAACTTGCAGTGTTCCCAATTCCTTACCTAGCTCCCGCCCGGCGAAGTTAAATCGTCCTTATTTGACCATGTGCCATTTGCTTCTTAATTACGATCTGGTGTGTGAAAGCTGCTCTTTTTCCCTCTCTCGTTGTTTAAATTATCCGCCTGCAAGGCAAAATTATCTGTCCACTTGTTTTTTAAGCTGTCAACCACACCTGGGCACTGGCTGACCCACAACCCCTTCGCTTCTCGTAGCAAATTATTAGTGATTGTCTGGAAAAAGTACCAACCTCATTGGGGGGGGGGGGGGAAGCAGATAAAATTTTATCTGGTAACACAGGAACAGGAGTATTCAGCCCCTCGATCTGTACCTCACCTCCAATTACCCCCGCCCTTGCCTCATATCCCTTGATACCCTGACCTAACAGAAATCTTTCCACCTCAGTCTTGAAAATTTGAATGGATCCAGCCTCCACAGCATTTTTTTTTACTGAGGTTGTCCCATGGTTTCCCAAGGTGGGGGATAAAATGGGAATTTTGATGTGCTAACTACCCAGGTTCGGCCCACTCACCAACAACTCTGCAAGCTAAAGGAGAGAGAGCACATCACGATCAGCACTCTCGTCTTTCAATGGCATTCTGATTAAAAAAAAATTGGTCACTTCCATCCACGACTGTTTGAGGGAGACTGCTGTCCGTGATCGGCTGCCGCGTTTCGCCCACAAAATATACAGTCAATTCACTTTACGGTATATTCTGCGAAGTGCTTTAAGACCGTCTCGAAGACGTGACAAGGGGCTGCATCAAATGCAAGAATTATTATTATTATCCTTCATGGCCCAAACATAATAACCATATAACCTTTCAAATAAACTAACAGTATGTGTACTTAGACGTAAAAACTACATTAGGGAACTTCTATCATCTGCAGCTAACACCTACGTGTGGAATAATGGATATTGGAGAATGAATTACCTCGCATGCTTGAGGAATTCTGTAGACGTAACTGGTTTATAAACACCATCTGAGCGCTGAGGGTTGCAATTCTAACTCCCTCTGATGTACTCTGACCACTTGCATTACTCACCATAACTCAACTGATGATTCTTGTTCTATAAAAATCTCACAGTGATTGTTATCGCAACCCTTAATCGCCAACCCAGTGCTCACCATCCACCAAGGCATTTTCTGATAGACCCACACTTCCCCCACACTCTGTTTAAGTGCTGCAGGACACTACCCTGCATGAGGGGTGCTACATAAATGCAAGTTGTTGTTGTTGTTGTTTCCCGCACTAAAACAATGGGGGTACGTAATGGAGTGATTTTCAGGGTGTACTTTTATATTCAGAATAAATTCAGCTGATGGCTAAAAGTCATTCAAGATTTGCTTTTGCCATTTACAGAGTGCGATTTACATTTATATAGCGCCTTTCGACATCAGAAGGATATCTCAAAGCGCTTATCACACATTTGGAACCTCACAATCAGATAACTCCTTATGTCACTTTTCTCCTTAATATATACTGTCACTTAATTTGATTTTAGGTTCAAAATTACATTTCTTTTGCGAAGCAAAATGCGCAAAATTTCTTTCCGTTGCCCAGGACCATTTCAAATTCTCAATGCAAAGCTGCATCACATTTGAAGAGAGATTTTTCTCTCCTCTGTGGCATAACTGCACATTTATGGTGCAGGACTGTTTTTGCTGAATTTCGTGTATTATAATACAATTCCTTACCAATTTGACGTCTTACCCAAATCACGATGGACAGAGGTCAGTGTTTTTATCTCCCTGAATGACCTTACCAAGGAACAACCTAGTTGATGTTTACTTACAATATCTCCCTTGATGACATTTTTAAGCAAACATTGAACCTTGTTGTTGCAAACTGATGGGAAACGAACAAATGCTTGTGTTTTTTCAGAGCTTTATCTTATCGAGATTTGAATTTTACTAATGATGGACTCCCAACAGCGGAGGTCTGCGTGTAAGCGAGTTTGACCTTCTGTGATTCTATCTTACTGTGTTCCACCTTGGGAAAATTACTTCAGAGCTGGGGTTCTTGTTTTTGTTCATCCCCGCAGTGATCCGTGTGCCACAGGTACTGGAAAAAGATTCCTCCTTCTTGCTCCGTCTGATACTTTATAACAGTGAAAATTTCTGTGACAGTAAGCTGCAAATGTGATGCAGGGAGATATAAAGACATCTTCGTGTTACGTACATTTTCAAGAGAGTTGCGTCATTTTCAACAGGTCGTTATCACAAGCTGTTCAGTGGCATATAAAGTGTACCTCCACCATAAGTTCTCATGAACGGCTTACGCTCCATCCACTTGAGGTCCAGACCTGCGGTGGATGGTCAGGTAACGCTCGTTTCATGATAATAAACAGCAGCAATATTGTAGACCATCTATTGAAAGCAAAAATCGGAAACACAGTTTGAATATGCTGACTGAAAGCCCGAGAGTGCACGGAGCAACAGCCCGTAGGAACATTGTGTCTTGGAATTTGACGGCACACAGGATTGTGGAAACTCCTCGAATCCAGTCTTAATTTGGAAAGCCATTTATTTCGCCCCGCGCAGTTCTTGAAAAGAAACCGGCTTCCGAATTAAGGCTGGTGTTTTTTTTAGAACTTTCCACAATTCTGCGCGTTCTAAAATTTTTAAGCAATTTTTTTAAAAAAATTCTTAGAGCC